AGACCGATGTAGACGACAAACTTGCCCTGCATGACCTTCTGTATAACCTGGGGGACGTTCCATGTAGATAACCTCGTCAGTCGTCAAGATCACCGTGAAGAAATGCATTCTTCATATCTAGTTGATACAAAGGCCAATTCTGAAGAGCAGCAACAACCAACAGAGTTCGAACATTGGACATCTTGGCAACTGGGGTAAATGTTTCATTGTAATCGATACCGAACTCCTGCGTGTATCCAAGAGCCACTAACCGGGCCTTATGGCGTTCAATCTCCCCTTCTGGTGTCATCTTAATGGTGTAGACCCAGCGACATCCAACAACCGGTATCGATGGAGGAGGACGATCCACTACTGTCCACGTCTTGTTTGCATGTAAAGCCGCAAACTCCTCTTGCATGGCTTTATCCCAAACTGGGTTTCCACTTGCCTGCTTGAAGCGGGTTGGCACAAATAAAGGAGCAACACTATGGGAAACAAAGTTGTGGAAATGGGACGGTGGAACTCCCTTGTTGGATCGAAGAGAACGTCGGAGCTGAGAAGAAGTAGGTGGAGGAGCAAGGGACGAGACCTGTGTAGAAGTGGAGGATGTCGTTGGTTGAGGGGAGGCTGGAGATTCGGATGTTGCTGCATGGGAAGAAGTTGTATGTGGGCTGGACGTGGAGGTTGTATGCGGGCTGTACCTCAAATTGGCGAGCCGCATTTGTGGTGGAATACGTCGAAGTCAAGTGGCGCCACATCCACTACAACAAATTCGGCCTATTAGGACAAAAATTTTATTTTGTCATTTTCTGTTTGTCACAATAGGTACGGTGATATGACAAAAATAATATATGTCCTATTTGGTATGCCTAATGTGACAAATAAAATTTTGTCAGAATAAGTCGTCATTTAAAGTGAGTAATGTGACAAATATTTTGTGTCGCAATTAATTTTGTCAAAATAGGCGTCCCATATCGGGATGTAAGAGACTCAACAGTGACAGATTTCTTGTTGTCAGAATAGTTCGTCATTTAAAGTTAGTAATGTGACAAATATTTCATGTCACAATTAAGTTTGTCAAAATAGGCATCCCATATGAGGATGTAAGATACACAAAAGTGACAAATTATATTGTCAGAATAGATTTTGTCATATTATGCCTTCTCGAATTGTTTAAATGACAAAGTATTTTGTCACAATAGATAGCAATAATTCCACGGCGAGCTGGCAAAAGGGCATGTTCGGCATAATATAGTGGTTTTGGCTTTGACAAAAGGCATGTTCGTCATAACATAGTGGTTTCATTTTTGACAAAAGACATTTTCGTCAGATTTGCTTGTGTTAGACTGAAACATCGTGTTAGAATGAAGCCAATCAGCCCGACCGACGCATTATTTTCCCGCCCAAATTTCAGTCCCGTCCAAAAAAATTCCCCAAGCCCGCCCACGTTTCCCCTTCAATTGAACCGAATTAATCTAACCTAAGGATTTTTTTTTAAATTTCGTATTAAGAGTATTCATTACTAAATTGGCATAATAAATTAATTAATTAAACTCAAGAGTAGGCAAGTGGTTTAATTCCCTCCCTAAAAATGATGTCGTTTGAACCAAAATTGGGTAAAAAATTAAAAAGTAAAAATTCCTTCACCTCTCACTCAGCACTCACAGCCCACAAAAACCCTACTTCCCCACACAATTCTCCCAATTCTCATTCTCCGCCGCTCCTCTCTTCTCATAACAAAATCCCAATTCTAATTCTCAATTTCTAACTCCAATTCATCTTTCTCGTTCATCCATCTATCCATTACCCTTTGCTTCTTCATCTTCTCACCTCCCTCACTACTCTAATTTCTCCCCAAGCCCCAAGGCAGACATAACTCATCCAGGGAAAACCAAAAAATCAAAACCCAGATCTGGCCTTCCTCTCCGTATCGACTATAACTGTCGATCTGCTTCTCTTCTTTTGTATTTCATTCCGATTCCACCTCTCTCCTCTCGATCTGCTCACGATTCTCTATCTCCTCTAAAATAGCAACGACATGAGGACATCTGCTCAAGAACACCAGTGGCGTGGCTACGACAAACTCCTTGGAGTGACGGGCGAATCTCAAGATGGGGCGGCGACAGATGTTGTTGACAGCTATGGACGAAACTCACTACTCGCCATATAGTTTTATCTGCGTTTCTCTTTGGTCTGGTAAGGGTTTTTTTAATTTCTGGGTTAATCTTATTTGATTCTTATTTTCCCCCCCTTGTTTTGATATTGGGTTTTGATTTTGTAGGGAGACAAACTGTCAGAATTCTGTTTACTGATTCTGACTTTTTGTTTTGCAGGTTTTGGATTGAGGGTACTATTCTTCAAATTGATGATTATGATTAGGGTTTTTAAATGGCCAATCTGGAGTTTGGATGTGGATATAAAATGGGGGATTAGTAGTTTAGTAAATCTTGGCCAAATGCAAAATCTTGGTTTTGAAGAGGTGACGTTTAGATATGGACCAAAGAATAAATTGCGAATAGCTAAAAAAGTCTTCTCGAAAATTAAATTGTGAAATATACTAAAATGAATCTGAAAAAATAAATTGAACGGAAAAAAATATAAATTACTCCAAAAAATACCAGATTATGACAACCGTACTGACAAAATATGTCGTCATAACATCTTTGTTTGTCACAATAGACTACCCAAAACCTCATATATACTGAAAGCAAATGTGACAACCTTATTTTAATTTTTTGTCACATTTGACCTATCCTGACGGCGATAAAATGACAAACCTTTGTGACAACACCTTTTGTCATATTACACCTAATATGACAAAATGAATATATAATATGACAAAATTGTCTCGTCATAATATGCCAAATTTGTTGTAGTGATCCGATTGGCTGTGGGAAAGAGACGGAGACTGAGACAGGTGGAGGAGTCGACCGATCCAAGCAGCAATGATCGCACATGTGCATCATTTTGCTTCTAGGTGGCTACCTCTATTAATGCAGATGTCGGTGGTGACGTTGGTCTAGGGGTCTGCCCATCGAGTATTCCAAGCAAACCCTTCCCCTCAACGAACACTCTGAACTGAAATTCCCACAACACAAAATTCGTTGAGGTGAGTTTGACGGAAAAACGCTCAGATTCGGCCATGGAAAGCTCTGATACCATATTGACGATCTAGAAATGGATACGGAAAACAGTAAACGGGACAAACGGATTTACGTGGTATCCCCGGTTTCCCAGGACTAATCTGTAGACACCAGTTTTTGTCCGGGTTAAAATATCCAATTAAATAAAATTTAATTTTTGTTTAAGATTTACAATAGTGAATCTTAAATTACCTTATAGCTAAAACGTATATACAGTGGTTGGAACACGACATATTTTTCATAACTTAATGAGATTAGCAATAACAAATCTCATTTTGTACAATTCTGATCAATGAGCTTAGCAATAAAAAATCTCAATTTGATTAACGACTTGGCAATAATGTGAGTTGACCATTGAATTGATCCTTAAAATATTGATTCATGGAAAAATTCGACTTTGATTTCAAAACAATAACAGATAAGTCGAATTAAGGGCAAGGACTGGTATCTTATTAAAATAAATCACAATTACAGATGTTATTACAATTATACAAAATAAAAAACATTAAAACTGGAGAAGTCAGAGCCTATACCAAAAGTCAACGAAAGTCAACTCTGTTAAAGTCACAGTCAACAAAAGTCCAATCAAGTCAACAAAGTCAATCTGGTCAGCTCTGACACAACCAGACCGGTTCAACCCAAAACCAAACCGGTACTGTTGCAAACTTGGGGAACAAGCTCCCTTTTCTTATAAAAAAGAACACATCTGCTCTTGCAAAAGGGGGAGAGAAAAAACGAGCTTCTTCTCTTCCACTTCTAGACTTTCTTTCTTTCTTCTTCTTCTTCCTTGTTCTTGCCAGAGGCAATAGACAGAAACAGGGAGCCACTTTGTCACTTCTTCTTCTTCTTCTTCATCCTCTTCCCTGCACTTCCATTTCCCATTCCTCGCAAAAACAGACGAAAGCATCCAGAGGGCGGCGGCAACCCTACAACAAACATTCTTCTTCCTTTCTTACACTACAAACAGACACTCGAATAAGGAATCAGAAGAAGACAACAAGAAAAATCCCATTCCCACTCCACTGTCTTCCTCTTAAACACACCAACAGAACACAAAAAAACAAAAGAGCAATACACCCAAAAGAAAACATATAAGCAGCCGCAAAAACGCAGCAGTAGAAAAATACCCATAGAAAGGAGGAGAGCAGCTCCAACCTTTCCTCAAACTTCCAACTCAAGGTTAGTATAGGCTATAGCTAAATCTGAATCTTGTCTTTCATTTCCATCATCATTCATAATCATCCCACTCATCCTGCTTGTGTAAATTAAAGTTTTTCTCTTCTCAAACTCAAGAGAAACTCAATCAACTCCATTTAAACTACAAACAAGTTGATTTTGTTTAAAAGAGGAATATACATAATCTACTCCAAGCAAATTACAATCTGACGTAAAATACCTCAAGAAAAATCAGATTCAACCAATCCTAGGTACATTACAAGATAATGACTATTAGCTACTTACCATTATCTTTCATTCCAGTTCATTTTACTTCATCAATTCCTAATGCATTCAACCGCTGCACAATCACAGCATTTGTTTCCTTGTGCTAATCTCTTTTCTCACAATCCATTTTCCTATCAAGTACTTTATATTATAATCATCCGTCTACTAGCTATTATGAGTTCTCATTCATGTTTTCTTCAATTAAAGCGTACTGATTATTATTAAACATACACTATATCAATATCTATACTTTTTGTTAAGCTTATTTACAATTTCTTTAAGCTTATCAGCTCTGCGTAATACTAATCATTATTTAAATTGTTCAAGTTTCTGCCATGTTATATTTCCTCTGTTTCTTGAGCACGTAGATAATAAAAACAATATCATCATGAATCCCTTCTAAATACCAAAATCAATCCAAATCTAAATAAAAAAGCAATTAGATCAAATTATTATACCCGAAAAGGGTTTCCCTTATATCATCGTCGTCTTCGCCGCCGGCGGAACCCAAGGCTGCCGGTGGCGGCCCCCTTTCTTCCCCCATCCTCTGTAACTAGAACACACAAAAAGAACATATCAGAATCATAAAACAACAAAATCAAATAACAAAATCCAACATGCAAACAAAGCTAACCTCGTGCCTTCGCTGCCGCCTTTGCCGTCGTCGTTATCATCAGATTCCGCCATCGTTCTTTAGCCGTCTTGAGGGAGGTCGTGTTTCGTTACCTCTGGAGAGAGACGAGAGAAGGGGTTTCTTCCTTCCTCCGAGTTACTCGCCGGCGACGAGATGGACGACAAATAGAGGGTGAGAGGCAGAAGAAGAATCGAGTAGGAGGAGGAGAGGAGCTAGGGATTTTTTTTTCCTTTCTTCTTTTCGTTTGTTGGTTCATTGTTTCTGGAGAAGAGAGGAAGAGATGTGAGACGAGAGAAGAAAAGGGAGAGCGGCGAGGGTTAAAAAAAAATAGTTTATATACACGTTTTGTTACAATGTCGTATCTACCCCTAGGGTTTTTTTTAATATTACCTGCTCTGGAAAAACAAAAAATACCTCTCGTGTGAGTCGAACTCCTGACCTCTGGGCTCACAAGTAACAACGAACAAGCAATGCGGCGCCTAACCATTAGAGCTACCCTGTAATTTTGGCTACTTTAGTCCTTTCGTTACATGTTATTTTGGAAGTCACTTAATACTCAAAATTTATATCGACCAAACATGTTAAGACTTTTTGCTTTGGCCAAGTTACGATTACTCCTATGTATTTCAAAATATTAGAACCTTGATTTAAATTTGGGCTTCATTTTGCATACACATATTTATTTTATTTAGAGATTTCATAAATACGAAATCATGGTCAATATACCGTGATAGTCATTTTTGTTGGAATTCTTCCAAAGGCAATCTAACATTCAATTACTAAATTGAAAAGTCATAAAACCATTTCCTAATAACTCAAATCATCTTAATCGCAATCTATAGAACGTGTTTAAGATCACAACATTTTAAAACTTCAACAAAACCGAACTACGTGGACTTTGATCCCGACTACTCGGGTACGTAGGCAACCAATAGGTTCGAGTCCAACCAATCTAAAAAATATTTTTACGTCAATAGACGTAAACATTATCAAGTAACTACAACAGTTCAAAATTTACGATAATAACATCGTCCAATTGAACTCTAAAAATACACCCAAAATTATTAAAATAATTTAATTAAATACATCAATAAAGCCGCAAATTATAATACACCCAACTCCTAAAAAGCTTATCGATTTAAGTAGTACCCATTTGGGGCGTTGTGGGGTGTGAATACACTTCCCCACACGTAATCGTACTCCCGAACCCCTAAACCTAAAATTCGCAGACCAGATTTCTGGTTTTAACCTAAATAACAAAACCGGAAAAAGGTGTTCGATCCACCACAGTAAGGTCGATGGCGACTCCGAGCTTATTCGCAACGAATCCCGCGATTCGGAGGGGCGGTTGCGACAGTGGCGACTCCGCTGGGGACTAAAGAGAGTCAACTACATTAACAATCGATAAGCATTTTCTTACTTTCTTAAATGGGTGTTATGTGTTTACTATATCAATTTGCGCCTTTAATTTATGATGTATTCGATTTATTGCATCCATGCATAAAGCTCTATTCCCGAGCTATCCTTGTAGAAAAAAGGAAGAAAGTAGTGTGACTCCAACAATAGTAGGGGAAATACGAAACTTCCCAACCAGGTTGAACTCAAATCCGAGGATGATTTGAGGTATCCTGCTAAACTCGAAAGGGTTATAGTGTGGTACAACTTGGGAGCCTAATTCCTTAAGATCCCTATCCAGCATATAGTTTACCTAGAAACTACCTAAACCGCAACTTATCCCAGAGCCTACCCAAAAACACAATTTTATGCTGCCGAAATACCCTAGGTTTACCTCAATAAGGCAAAGTTTGTGAAAGAGTTTATCTTATGATCAGTTCTTGTCTTGCTTATACGTGTAATGTATGTTCTGCAAATCATTCGTAAATGACAGAGATTTATTTGTATGTGTGAAAATATTTTAAACTCATTACACCATCATTTCTTCATTCATTCATCATTTTAAAATTTGTACAAAGTGCATATGCATCCACTGAAAAGTACTTTGTATTTACAATCATATCATTGAGCATAACCCACCATGAATTCATCTCATTTACCACCATGAAACGAGTTAACAAAATTGGGATTCTCTAAGGTTGCTCATCCACGAGGATAACGTCAACCCCTTAAGTACTCGACTGAATCCAAGGCTAAGCCTAGTATGGAGTCAATCCATAAGGAATTGGAAGACATCAAAAGAAGGGTGATGCGACTTGAAGACATGAAAGAAGAGGTTAGCATGATCTTGAACATATTGACCAACAAGGGGAAGGCGCTAGAAGTCAAAGATGATGATGCGTCGTCTAATCACAAATACTTATACCAGCAACATGACAAAGTGGCAACTTTAGAAGCCTCCAAAAAACATGGCAAACTTGGAGAAGAGAGAGAGATCTTCATTCAAGGGGAACCATCAAAAGAAAGAAAATGGAGTCACTCACCTAAAAACAATCAAGCCCACTCACATGTCACAAACAATATACCAACAATTCAACAACCAAACTTCACCCCACAACTAGGAATCCAAATTCCTTTGTTCGAGACCCCACAACCAAATATACAAAACCAAAACAGTGGTGGGAGATGCAGAAAAATCATTCAAATCAATCCCATTCCCATTACATATACCGAGCTTTTTCCACAACTAGTCCAAAGTCATTTGATTGCTCCTATACCATGCCAACAGATACAACCTCCCTACCCAATTTGGTATAAGCCAGAGCAACATTGTGACTACCACTCTGGAGTAGCAGGACATTCAACGGAGGATTGTAGGAGATTAAAGATAAAAGTGCAACAAATGGTAAATGTCGGTTGGTTGAAATTTGGAGAAGATCAAGATCATACCGGCAACAAATCGCCTCATGGGGGTCAGTAGACATACCACAAGACAAAGCTCGATTCCAAGAGTGATAGCAAATAAATCTCAAGATACTTTACTATGTTGACTCGATGTATCAACCTTTATTTTTATAATGAGGAATAAAAGATCGCTCGCATTTTCACATATTTGGAACATTTTGTGGCTATTATCAATCTTGATTTTAGGTTTTGCATCAATGATTCTCTTTTCAAAATGATTGCATCTCTTCCAAATAATTTTTTTAATTAACTTTGCTCCTCTAAAAATGGGAACCTTAAAATTGCATTTCATGTTTCAAGTTAAGCCATGAGATTTTCATATTAAGCCAATATAAGCACCCCACTGGTGTCAAATGATTATAAACACTTTGTCGGGGTCAAGAATTTTCGCACCCCACAAATATTCAGAGAGTGCACCGTACTAATATCGAGAGTTTGAACACCCCATCGATGTTGAGTGTGTAAACACCCCACTGGTGTCCACAGATTATGTGAGCTGAATAGTCAAAGGGTGTGACGGGGATACGACACTAGGCTACTTGTAGAAGTTTGTCACTACCATAACCGGTCTCCCATATCAAATCATGGCTCGGCTAGATAGGAGACTGAGTAGCCAAATTAAGATCCACAAGAAGTGAGATGCCAGCATCAAAATAGCCAAGTTTTCACGAAACCATCGTAGCCAAAAGATTGGGGAACTTGAATGATCATATTTGACAAACTCGCATAATGAGTTGTGGGATGGATAAACATAAATCATTTCAATTCTTTTGAATGCTGACATCTCCCAAAATACAAGGCCTGGGCAGAAGAACTATTCAAACAGCACGGCAAAGACTCGACATCAATGTTATGTATTCTTCCCGAGAGGATGGCCAATTTGCCTAGCCAACAAGAAGGACCACTCATATAGATCGATATACAGACAAATCACTTTCAAGTTGGTACACAAAATCAGAACAAGCAAAATGACACTGTGTATGGGGGCATAACAAAGTCAAGTAAGTCCCGCACAAAAAATCAAAGAAGAAACCAAAAGAGGCAAGAAAAAGAAAATCAAAAGAAAAAAACAATATGGGACTTACACATCAGATGCCCCTACAAGAGCGCTTGAAGTTACACCCATTCAAACTCACCACGAGTTACTAGTTATCTTCACCAAAAGGCCAAAAGGGTGACTCCAAGTATACCTTCGACGTAGTCACAAGAGCACGGTGTAGGGTCATTCTCTCAATCAACAATATATATTACACTCAAACAGGGCTAGCCATCAAGGTAACCAGCTTTCCAGATCAAATAATGTTTGCCTCCCAAGTTAGAGGAAATAACGCTAGAAACCTCTAACGAGAAAGATTCTCAAGACAAGAATGTCGCCATCAACTAAGAAGACATCCCATGATCATCCTTATTTCAATTGAATTCCCGCTTCTCAAGATAAGCAAGACCTTCAACATTCATCACTTCAAAAATAGTTCAAATCTGCATAACTCGAAGACCTCCTTCATCCATCAGTTCGCCTCATACTTTGGGGGCAAGCCAAATCTCTCACAAGAAACTTTACACGACTAAGAATAGAAGTATCATTTATCCATCACTCATATGGGAAAATTTAGATTCCCAAAGGTTGAGAACTCTTACAGTTAGAGTCATACCAAACAAGACTCTCATTTCAGAAAAGTGCAAGAACTTTCACCATGAAACCATATAAGGATTTCCCAAACTCTACCCAACCAGTTTATACCCCAAGGACATTTTTCCATCAATACGGTGACAAGAATCTTAATAGTAGCTGAAATGTCGTAAACTCAAAGCACCCATAGGAATGAGTGAGAGCGAAACTGAGAGTGAGAATGAGAGGGAAGGCTTATGGATATTCTCATGGCTTGACTAATAAAACAACAGGTTTTAAATAATGTGGAAATAACCACACGAGAAACATTTTTGCTCAATTCGCACACACTTCTCACAAGCAAAGTTCACAAATCTGGTTCCCATTATACTTTATCAAACAAGAATTTTTAAACTTTTTTGCATTCATCTCAAGTCAAGATTGATAAAAACCACTCCTTGTTCCTGATTCTAGAAAAGTGAGTATCAGAACCTTGGGGGCAAGAATGATGTGATCTAAAAGAGGAGGAAGTTCAAAAGGCCCATGAAGCATATCCCCCTACCTTTCAGCTCAGAAGTAGATTGGTATATCTCAGAGACTTTGGATCACACACGATTCATTGAACTCAACTAGTCAGTCAAATTACCCTTCAGAGACTTTTCTAGAAGGGTGAACTCGAACTCGATATACAATGACTATCATACGAAGTACACAACTCAAGTCTAGGTGTGAGAGACCCTAGATTGGCCACAAGAAAGCTGAGAGCCGACACTACCATGACATACCTCAA